CTTCCAGCCGGGTAAAGGTGGATATTGTCTTGGTTTTGTCCCTTGGTAGCGCTTCAGAAAGAGTAATGAATATGTATGTGTGTGTATCTGTGTGTGTGTGTGTGTATGTATGTATTTGGGAAGATGCAGGTGGAATTTGACTGAAATAATTCACAAACGTGCGTGAAATTAGTCATCCCGCCTGCCCAAATACTTGGGAATGCTTCAAGGACGATCGTGGTTTTTGTTTCGTCGAAAACTGTAAACCGATATTTCAAAGTTAGCAATGAACGTTAGGAAAAGTGCTTTTTAAAGTATGCCGAGAGCAAAAACGTTTTGGGTTGAGTGAGATGCTGAGGTAGGACCCCAGCACGTCCTGTTGCAGGTTGGTGGTTTGAAAAGCTGATGGGGCTTGGTGTTGCAACGGAGACGGTGCTCGCGCTGTTCCTGGCCAAGATCTGCTCGATGGACTCCCTCTCTAGGAGTGAAAGGAAAAAAAAAAAATAGTAGGTAGCACTTCCCTGCGTTCAGTGTTTGCTTATCGCTCAGGTTAGAGATGATCTCTGAGGTTTTTCTCATTTAGATGTTAACTCAGTGTTTCTGGTTAGTCTTTCTGTAAAAATGTTGCTGGTATTATGGTGTACAAGCCACCAGCCAAATTTTAGAGGGAAAAAAGAACAATATGGGATATGAGGAGACATCCAGGCTGGGAACGGGATCCCTGTCTAGATGCTTGGGACCTCTCTGAGGACGACAAATGATGGACAAAAGAGATGATGTCGCTACTTGCTGTTCCAAAACTCTCCTCACAATGTAGGGCTTGGCTGCTTCAGGTGTTGGGAGGACATGCCAGCACATGGAGGCAAAACCCCACGCGTGGCAGTGTCCCCCGGCCCTGCTGTCCCCCCATCAACAAGCACCTGCCCCGACAGCAAGCTCTGGCTGTGGAGAGAGGTTCGCTGGAGCTCTGCGCTGGGCAGGGTTCCCGGGGGATGGTCCTTGGTCCGATTTTGGGAAGCCTTGTGGAGGATGATGTTCTGGGCGGAAGGACCCCAATTCTGAAGTGACCAAGGTCGAAAGAGATGGAGAAATGGGGGAGCTCTCTAGTATCCTCTGGTGTTTCTGAAGGTCCTGTCTGTGTAATTTATTGCTCATTGTCGCTAACGCGGACCAGGAGGACCTGTGTCCAAGCAGAAGAGTGCATCCTGAGTAATACCTGGAGGTAGCCTCCATGTCATTCCTAGAGCTATCTAACTCTTTTCCATGCAGTGCCTTTAAGACAGGAGAGACAGGAGAGGTCTCCAGTTGTACTTAATCACACAAGTCACATGGAAGGTGCTGGGCATCTTACCCACAGCTGAAAGTGATTGCCACTTTTCCAGGTAGGGAGCTGAGCTGCTGCCAGAACTGCTGGGGATTTTGCAGGGGAATCGAGCGCTTGCAGTAGGCTGCTGTGTCCGCTCCGTCCTTCCCTGGTGCAGAGATGTCTGTCGTTACTCTCACTCGACTGGGTGACCTCTCCCTGCTGAGCCATGGCAGCAGTACCAGCAGGGTGATGTTCACAGACCAGCAGGTCTCTAGGGAGACGTGAGTGTCTGTACGCAGGTGTCCTCTTCTCCTAAGGAGAGTTGGAGTCCAGGCAACCATGCCATCTGGTAGAAGACTCTGCTTTTACATATCTGCAAGGGATGGCCAAGGCAAAGCAGAGAGAGTCCTTCCTGCTCAGCATAAGCTGCATGGAAGAGCACAAGGCTGCAGTGGAACACAAGAACAAAACCGATGTGGTGTCTGCTGGCTGCTTCGTGCGGCTCTGCTTCCTCTCGCTGAGACTGTGTCCTGTGTAGTTGCTTTCTGCAACCTATGGTTTCCCCAGGTGGCTGGACCAGAGTGCAACCTTCGGTGCCAATTCATCAGGATCTACTGGGGAGAAAGTTCTTAAGCCCAAAATACATGGCTAGAGACTGGAGATGGACGTAGAGAGAGAGGAGCTGCAAAGGAGGTTTTGGCTGATCTAATAGGCAACTGTCCTGGCATCTTGCTAGCTTAACTACTTGGTCTCCCTTTATTTATAAGAAAAATTTTAAGAAGAGTTGGAAGAAAGATGCCCAACAGCTTTGCAGGCAGGTATCTTGCAAGAATGTATAGTGGTGGTGTTAGAAATTTTGGTAAGTGGGTGATGGAGGCTGGTGTCTTGAGTTGGTCTGGTCTGGAGCTGCCTTTCGATGCTGAATGGGAGGGCCCTAGGGAAGGGGGGATAGCTGGCTTTGAAATGAAGATACGAGGCTTTTCTTCTTTCTTTTTTTTTTTTTTTTCCCCTCCCCTGAGGTAGCAGAGAAAGGAAATGCAGTAGAGGGATGCATAAGCACAGTGACATGGTCAGTGCGAGCAGCTTGGAAAGGGACCTTGGCAGGGGGATTTTGCATAGAAATGGATGGGTCAGATGGCTTTTATCAGAGCTAGGGAGATGGATGCTGCTCCATGGCAACATGAGAGGGTCAGAGCTGCAACAGGGGCGTTTTTGGGCTAGCTAGTTGGGTAGGAAGGATGATCTCCTGGAGATCTTACGGAGAAGGAAGTTCGGGAAGTTTAGACATAGATGGGCCAAGCCTAACTGTTCAGCCAGAGCCCTCTTTTTTGTGTGCCTTTCTAGGTCCTGTAGCAAAAATGATATAGCTACTTCAAAAGGGAGAAAAAGGACTTCCCTCTGCCTCGTGCTTTCTCCCCTGCCACCTTGTATTTTTTCCTTCTACTGCTCCGGTGGGCTCCAAGGACTTGTGTCTCAAAGACATGCCGTTCCCTGTTCCCTGCCAGCTTGGACTGGGCTGTGGTGGGGGGTGTCTGTGTATTGCAGTACAGCCCCTATCAATGCAAAGAGATGTAAATTCAGCCTTGGTTACTATGGATGCAATGCTGGAAACAACTGGGTGTGAGACAATGCAAAACGAAAGCACCAGTGATAATGTGACACATAGGAGACAAAGCATCACAGATGCGAAATTTCTCAAGAAAGCCAAGTGAAAAGTAGAAACCGCTTGGATTCGCCCATGACAAGGGCATTTAAATATAGCCGGGTGGGTGTTAATTACTGTAATCTGAAAGCAAAATGCAATAAAAAGAGTGGCTGAGTGCAAGATGGGAGTGAAGAACCATTGAGGACATAGCAGGAATTCCTCTTGTTTTGCAGCTGGGATCCTGGCCAGGGAGGCCATGCACATGGCTCCTCCAGTGTATAACACATATGCATACACATGCCATTGTCCATGTCCATGTCGTTCCATGTAGTATAATCTGGCAATAAATTAATATATCCCCTATGACTGCAACGGCCTGGGGTCTCACTGTGATTGCTGCTGGTGTGGAATTGCTGGTGTAACATACACAAATGTGCCCTCCATCCTCTCCAGTGCTATAGCGAGAAAACACTGAAGTTATCCACCCGCCGGGGAACCAAGTCTGTCCCCTCCCTCCTGGCCTTGGCTCCTGACCCGAAGCTGCTCGACTTTGGGTTGGCATCGTTCCTGCCGGGTCGCGGCAGCAGCTAGCTTGACGTTGCAGCCGCCTCCGTTGCTTGGTACCTTCTGCAGCTGCGGTCGGAGCGCTTCCCGGGTCGTCTCTGTGGTCACCGAGCGGTTCCTGAGTCGCGCGGCAGAGATTCCTTGCACGCTGGGCTTTTCTGAGCCGGGTGCTGCACCTGTCTGTGGTTGAGTGTAAAGCAGTCGTGTCACTGTCTGGGTCCTCTCCTGGGAGTGCAGACCCGGAGCTGTCCGGGCTCCAACGCTGGTATCACTTCTCCCAACCTCCTGGAGAATAACTCGAAGGATGTAGTGCACTAAGCCGAAGAGGGAAAAAGAGTAAAACTGTCGCTGTCATGTGCAAGGTGCAGTCTATGCTGCAGAAAGTGACAGCATGTGGATACAGTCCTGCCTCGGTTCCCCTGTTGCTCAAGGCAATCTCAACCAGATCCCGAAGGATCTAGGATGGTGCCCAGCTTGGTGCCTTCTCGATCCCATCTCCCTCCCTCAGGAGCAGCTGGAGAGGGGCCTCCCTCACGCAGCAGCCCTGCGTTGCAACCCCGGCGTCTCCAGTTCCTGAACGTCCTTTCCAGCGTGAGACGAGCAGGCAGAAAACCCGTTCCAAAGGGGAGCCGCCACAACACCGAAACGCGGAAATCCTTGGTTGTCTGGCACAGTTCACTGCACCTTAGGGATCCGGGATCTCTGTAAGTGGATCAGGTGCTATTAGACTATATCATGAGTTAGTTTTCATGTGCAAATGGCTTAAGCTGGCACAGGTGACCTTCTAGCAGGGCCTGCTGGTGTGGCAGGCAGGCTTGCAGGCTGAGTTTTTTGTGTGTTTATTTTTCTTCTTTTTTTTTACAGTAACAGTTATAATAATAAGGAAACACGAAGTAATCCTTTAGGAAAGCCCTGCCTGAACCAGCTGTGCTGAATCCAAGACATCTCGGTTTGCTGGCCTCTCTCCTTGACCTGGGACCGGCTCTCGAGCGAGGCGCTTTGGGGCGCGCGGCAGCCTGCTGGCAGGGCGCTGCCTATTTCTGCCGTTTTCTTATGTTGCTCATAAGAAACTCTGCTCGTTGCAACCTATTTCTGTGCGTTTTAATGTGGCTGCGAGTTTCTCCCTGGGCGGGATCGCGTTGTCGGGCAGGACGCGGAGGTGAAAGGCTGCGTCAGCCCCAATCCCCTTAGCCGTCTCGGCTGCTGCTTAGGTATTTTTAACCTTTTTAACCTGGGCTAAGCTGCCAGGAGCTGAAGTGTCACCGGGCGCCGGGGAGCGCAGCCTCGGATCAGCGAGCCGAGCCTGGGATTTCAGGATCAGTTGCTCTAAGCTCGAGATCCTGAAATACCTCGTCCTGCTGAGGGTATTTTTGGACCGTTTTGGCAACCGGGGGGTTTAGCCAAGGGGACGCAGCGCGCGGGGAAGGAGGAGCCCTGGGGCTTGCAGCACGCTGGGTACTGGCCCGTTGGCGGGTTGTTTGCTTTAAGCAGCTGATGATTTGGGGGTCCAGGCTGCGTGGGCTCTAGAGGAGTCCGACTCCATCATTTTTTTCCCACAGGACAGTCTTTTTGCTCTCCGACAAATTTGTCGTAGTATCCCAGAATTGTCATCCCCAAATATTTAGTTAATTAGGAGAAACCTAATGATACATGACTTTATTTGCAATATAATCTATCCACATATGATCATGCATCAATCTCTCCCAGCCCCTCTGGGGAGACCGTGCTGTGATTTTATGTTTATTCGTATAGTTTTGTAGGACGCTTGGCTATTTCTGCTTTGCAGCTGGCAGCTCGGCTTCACGTCCCCTTTCTCCTAGCCTGCTTTTCTAACCTTTTCTCCCTGGGGAATGACGAGGAGACAAGTAATCCAGCTGCTGACCCCTTGCTGCCTCTTTCATCACCAAGGAGTGGAGCCCAAATGCAAACTCCCTCCCTAAAACCATCTCAGCCAGGGTCTGCAGGGCAGGAGCCGAACGCAAAGCGTCCTCCTGGGGCTTCCTCAGGTGGGGGCTTCCAAAACGAAAAGCTGCAAGGGGGAAAAGGGTGCCAGTCTGGCGGAGGGCAAGCTGTGTGTCGCTGCACATCTCTTTTGCTCTACCTGTTTTATTTGGGAAGCAAACAATCTCAGGTGTTAAACCCAACTGTTTGCAACGCTGTCCTACTTCAGTGATGGATGTTTAAACTCAGAGCAGCACCATTAAGAGAGGGGTGGGGGCAGATGTCCTAGCAATAACGCGAATATTTTCTTTTTGCCTAAGTCATTTAGTTAGAGGTCCTACAGAAAGTGTTGTTAGGAAGGCCCAAACTCTCAACTGCGCTCCTTATTATAAAGATTTAAAAGTAGACCACTGGTAGGTGGTCTTAAAATGCGCTTATGGTGTGCCAGGTTTGTGCATATGCTTACATGCTGAATAAATATTTGGGTTAAAATAGCCACAGGAGCGTAAAGAAACTCTCTTAAAAGTCACTTGCACGACTACTGGATCCTACTCAGTGCCTTAATTGCGACTATGCTGAGCTTAATCCTTCTGGCTGTGGTTACTGGCCCATGCGGTGCAAGGGGAACGGGTTATTCCAGCTGCCCTCCTGCGCCGCAGCGGTTGTTCCAGCTTTCTTGGGCTTTCGTCCGTGGTCTGGGCACAATTCTCTGCGTTTGGATCCCAAACTAATTCACAGATTGGGGAAAAATCAGACAGGTTACTCGAAAGAAAAGTACTGGCTGGGTCCTGGAAGGCCGTGTTCCTTCTGCGTCCCCGCGTGCCTTGGGGGCAGTGGTGGAGGGTCCTGCTGGGCAGGAGGGGCCCTGGGTTGCTTCCTGCTCTTTTTCCAGAGAGGGCATCTGTACATGGCTCTCAGTGACCGTTTCCCAGGCCCCTCAGTCATGCTGTCATGTATTACAGCCCCCTCCCATCCCTGCTGTGACATGGGCCTTATCTGGCGTGTGATTCTGGTGCCGGGTCAGCGTCTTGAGTGGAGGACACCAAGTGAGACCTCGCTTGCTTAGCCAATTGCAAGCTAACAACCCTGTTGCTGCTGCACAAGAGAGAGACGCAGGTCTGATTTGGCCCATACAGCCTCCCCAAGGTCCGTGGAGGTAGCAGAAGGGAAGCCTGGCTTTGTGGCAGAGCTCAACAAAACTGAAATGCTGCTGCTTGATGAGCACATGCCTTGGGTGATACAGGTCCTGATTTGTTCAGTCCTGTACATGTTGCAGGTTTGCTTGTCTGTTTTATGGGTTTTTTACAAGGCCTGTGTATAATTCTCTTCTCTCTTCTGCAGGACAGGATCATCAATTTAGTCGTCGGCGGCCTGACATCCTTGCTGCTTGTAGTAAGTATCCCACATCATACCCTGTATTTCTTGTCTCCCTTAGATGACAAAATCAGAGATCCTCCTGTCATGGCACTGCAGAACGTCTACTGACTAAACAGTGTAGTTTGGGGCTCTGGTAGTCACTGGCCTATTTGTCATTTGAAACCCTTTGACAATAGGGGAAGGAGAATACCTTTCTTCAAGCCATTTTATCTTCTTCCGCTTTTTAAGATGTAGCTCTTTACTCTACAATAAAAGGCCCCAAGTCCCTGGGCAGACTGTATTTTCGGCTGAACATAAGACCGAGTGAGATGAGTCCTTTCGACCACTGCTGCTTGTCCTATCCTTGATTTTTTGTGTGGAAATTTTCAATTAAATGCTTATGGCTGGACGCAACACAACCGATCAGGTTTTGCCAATGTAACGTTGTAGGGCTGATTATGCTGCAGGAATCCCAGCAGGTAGGTGAGGACCTGAGCTTAAGTCCATGCTGTACCTAGGTACTGAGACCTTTCCTGGACAAAGTGCCTAAACCCAGGAGAGTTGGTTTGCTTCTCTTTCC